TCAGAAGCAGTGGAGTCAGCATTACTGCAGTCACTGGTATGATACTACATTTCTTGCTCACTGTATCCCCCCATTATAATATCTGCTTATATATGTGTGTGTTTATATATATATATATGAAACAGTAGACAGTATGTGCAAATATTTACCTGAGATTACATCGATCAATGTCAAGAAGTGTACTCTTTTTTACCAGCAGTGATGATCACACTTTATGGCAAAAGGGTTTGTGTTATAATACTGGTGGCTCTGGTTTACTAGACAGTGCAGATGAAATGCATCTACCAAACGTCTTATCAATAAAACAATAAAAACAACAGAAAGAAAATAGAAATTAAGATGAAAAAAGTTATTTTACATTATTATGTTTATGTCTATATCCAAACAACTTCTGAATTTTTTTATTTTTTCCTGACAAGAACGAATCCAACAATATACTATGTTTTTCTAGAGGTGTTCTGTCTTTGTACATTGCCATACCCAATGAAATTGTGTCTGGTATAGCTTTATAACTTGCCAGGAGTTATATATGTTCAGATCAACCAGTTATAGAGTGTTAATATGAAGTGTTTCTTCAGAGTAAGACGTGCAGCTCAGACTGCTTTCTAATCCTCGTCTGTAATTTTATTTTCCAACTCTTTGTTACATGTATTTATTTTATATGGCTATATAAAGATGATAAAAAAAATTCTATAGGTGTTTGTGGGAGCTTAAATTATTGAATTGAAGTAGTGAATTGTGTTATCTTAGTTGTCTTCTGAGGTGGGGATATTTAAATAAATAGTTTGTTTTCAGTTCTCATTTTTTCAAAGGACATGATGATAAGAGTGTGGATTTTTGAATCTTTTAAAACCTTTAAGAAGCCAAAACTTAAAATGTACCATCTGCTGAGTTAAGCTGCAGCTTGGAAATTTTTGAAAAAGATAAAGTAATGTAACAACTTTATCTTTAAATAGTTGATTTAATTTAAAAGACTGATAATAGGACATTTTTCTTAGTCATGGGGTCAGCAACAATTTTGGTCTTAAATATACTTATTTTTCACTGACTGAACTTGCTATGAATAATTTTCTTTCTCAGCTCCTCTAAACACAGACAGCTTCATGTCAATTGCACAAACTGAGAGCAGCATCACTCTGCAGTGGAATAAAGTCAACAACAATGTCAGCTTTGTTCTCCAGTTTAATGGTACAGAGACAAGCATCAGTGCACCAGCTGGAAATGGACCAGTAACTCACACAGTCTCATCTCTCACTGCTGGAACTCAATACACATTCACCCTTTACGCTGTGTTTGAGAACGTCAGAAGCAGTGGAGTCAGCATTACTGCAGTCACTGGTGAGTTATTATATTCACACAATTTAATTTTTTATTTCACAAAAACCTAAGATAAAATACAAAAAAGGCTTTTAGAACCACCTTTAGCAGCAATAACTAATAATTTTATCTATAATGGCAAATAAATTTTGTTTTGGGCTTTTCTTTTTAAATTTCAATTTAAGCAGTGTTTCAATTTAAGATGCCAGGAACCTGAACTGAATATGCCTTTTTTATTTAAATGTAGTTTGTTATCTGAATCAAACATCTCATTACTGAGAGGGTGCTGGTGCTGAACGTAACACTGATCATAGTGCCATCTAGTGGGAACACAAAATTAAACATTTAACACTTCCCTACACAGATCCAATCAGGTTGACCAGAGCCATCTAAAATTTGATCAGGAAAGCCTTAAGAAGATGGTGTAACTGTATTGTGAGTTTTTATGAAAAGGCACTCTGTCAACATGGTGAAGTTTTGTGTGTCCCCATAAAGAAGGAAATTCCTGTAAAGTATGGGTATTATAGGCTACAAACTGTCTGAAAACAGTCCCAACATGACCACATCTTTAAGCCAATAGTAAGGGATACTTAGAGCACCAAATAGTGGGAACAGGAAATGTCGTGTTTTGTACTTTGACATACTCTTCCTCACAGGCTGAGCAAATCCACGTGAAAAGAGGTCTGAATGAACTTTAGACCATAATGATTCTGTCGTGTGAAAACTGTGAGGCTTCATTTCACAGTGAGTCAGGATAGTGAGGACATTTTCCATGATCAGGAAATTGCTGAGGGGCTTGGAAAGCTTAAAAAATCTTGAAAATTAGACTCACCTCAGTCATGATGAAAACTTATGAAGCTCATGTGGAAATTTATCAAGACAATTTGTAATCACTCATCTTCCTGCTTTCCTGGGTGTGCGGTTGGTTTTCTGTTCATTACATGATAACCACTTTCCCGTGTTGTCAGTCTCAATACTGACATCAAGTCCAATCATCTTCTAGCCCACCTTCTCTGATCCAATCAGCGTCTGCTTTGTGTGGTTTAAATCTGTGCTCACCACCATGCACCCCTTTAGACTCTCTTTCATGCAACCCACCTCCTCCCCATCTTCACCTCAGACACCTCAGCCAGAGCTCTATTCAAATCTCAGTCTTCATCTTCACCACCACCAGTGCCTGGAGGAGGGTCTTGTCCTAAATCCTGTCATCACCGGGATTCTGTTCTACCATGATTGGTAATCAGAGCATAATAGGCAAATACATTGATTTCTCTATCTCAATAAATCAAGTTTAGTTCTTCAAATTGATCTTTACTAATTAAAATACTTCATAGTTTTTGTTCATGCATGTGGCAAAATTCCTCTTTAGCCCCAACTGCAGTATTTAAATGAAGCAACCCAAGTGATACGTTTCATCCACATGTATGAAAATTGTCGTCCACCCAAACCAATCCGAAGGTTCATTGTTCAAGTCCTGCTAAAGGGACGCAAGCTAAAGGGACGCAAGCTAAAGGGTTCTTGGGCAAGAACACTTCAGCATGTGTCCAATGCATCCACCAGGGTGTGATTGTTTATGTGATAGTTAGCAAAGTAACTCAAGCATAGAATACAGTGCTGTATCAATAAAGATGATTTGGCTTGTAATACAAAGTGCTTGTTTGTCCTGCAGGTGTTGACTGCATAAATTCCCAGTGCTTTGATCCCTGTCAGAACTATACTGCTCTGAATAATGATTGGCGGTCAACAAATAATACAAACATTCAGGACCTGCACTGTGATAGTGATATTAACTGGCAAGGCTGGTATCGCCTGTTTCTCGGGCAATCCAGTGCTCGTATTCCAGAGAGGTGCATAGACTCAAACAGGTGTGGGACCCATGCATCTTTGTGGATAACACAACCTCATCCCACACAGGTTGGTGAAATTGTGAATCGCACTGTGTGCAATACTTGGCTTGGCAGTTGCTGCTATTTTAACTCACACACGATCAAAGTCAAACTCTGCTATGGAAACTACTATGTCTACAAACTTGAAAAGCCAGTCGGGTGCTATCTTGCATACTGTGCAGGTATTGGTATACTTTAAGTATTACTAAAATATATCAAATTCATATTTATTGAGGTTTCCTTAAATTCACATGTTCAAAACAATTGCTCCAACATGAATGCAGTAATTGTATTTATTTTTGACTTTAAATAGAGGCGAATGGAACAGACCCTGAAGTTCCTTCAACCACAATGTCTCCAGGTATTCACCTGATTGAATCTTGATAAAAATAGTAAGACTTCAAAAACATCACATTCTACCTTATTTGACATGATTACTTTATTTTTCTCATTTTTCCATTTAGCTCCTTCAAATGCACAAAACCTCATATCATCAGGACAAAATGAAACCAGCATCACTCTGCAGTGGAATAAAGTCAACAACAA